AAGTTTTATGTGATGTAATTCATAGTAGTGGTTAAATCTTGTGTAACTTTTTATTATTAATAAAAATTACTAAGGTGCTATTTTCCTCCTTCCGCTGATTAAGGAGTTTACTTCTAAACTCCTTTAATCAAGAAGGGGGTTTTTAACGAGGCCTTCCATTCCTATAAAAAAAATAAGATTGGAATAGAACATCAACAAGACAGGATCATAACCCAAAACAAGACGGCCAACAAAGAAAGAGTTAGAAATATACAACATACATTTTGAGAAAGAAGAGAGAGAAAGGATAAACCAAGGAGACAAACGATTGTCTCTGATTAAAACTTCAAAATAAATGCAACACAGCTTAGAAGTCCCTGTTGATAAAGAGTAAACAACATAGTGGAGAAGAAAAGGAACTCTTTTTATTATATATTGTGAATGGTGAAAATACATCTTTTTATAGGAAAAGTTAGGAGTAAGTTTTCTATTAGAAGTAAACTACTTAGTAGTTATCCTTATCTATCTAACTTTCTAAGAGTTAGTGTTATATTAAAATACTAACTTATCTATTGCATAACCTACACTCCCCCTCAAGTTGGGGAGTAAATGTTGAAAAGACCCAACTTGGATATAATCTCATCAAAGGTAATTCTTGGAAGTGCTTTGGTGAGAATATCTGCTAACTGATTCTTCGTTGAAACATAATTAAGCTTCACCGTTCCACCATTCACCTTTTCAGAGATGAAATGTCTGTCAATCTCCACATGCTTCGTTCGGTCATGATGAACTGGATTCTTTGCAATACTTATTGCAGATTTACTGTCACTTTGAAGTTCAAACCATTTGTTGGCACATAACCCCAGCTCAGTTAACATTCTTTGAAGCCAAATTCCTTCGCAAATTCCAAGTGTCATTGCTCTAAATTCTGCTTCTACACTTTTTTGCTTCTCCAAGTAACCAGATTTCCCCAAACAAATGAACAATAACCAGTTGTAGATCTTCTATCCGTTAATTCACCTGCCCAACTTGAATCCGAAAAAATTCTTACTGTTCTATCATCACTCTTTCTAAAAATTAATCCATGTCCTGGTGTCATTTTCAAGTATCTTAGAATTCTATTCACAGCCTCTAAATGTTCTTCTCTTAGACCATTCATATATTGACTCAATATACTGACAGGGAACGCAATATCAGGTCTAGTAAGTGATAAATAAATTAGTTTACATACTAGCCTTTGATACTGTTCTTTGTTCACAGGACTTCCAATTCTTCTCTCCTTAGCTTCAGATTTGCTTCCATGGGTGTTTCAGCCGGCTTACATCCCTTCATTCTAGTTTCTGATAGTAGATCAAGGATATATTTCCTTTGCTTGATCATTATTCCTTCTTTTGACCTTGCAACTTCCATGCCTAAAAAATACCGTAAAGTTCCCAAGTCTTTAGTTTCGAACCCCTTCGACAGTAGCTTTTTCAATCTTTCTATCTCCATACAATCATCACCTGTTAGAATGATATCATCCACATAGACAATCAAAATTGCCTTTTTGTTGTTTGAAGATGTTTTGACAAATAAAGTGTGATCTGATTGACATTGCTTGTAACCATCATGAATAATCACCTTTGTAAATCTATCAAACCAGGCTCTTGGAGATTGCTTAAGTCCATACAAGGACTTTAGTAATCTACATGCTTTTCCTGTATTACTCTTCACACCCGGTGGAATTCGCATATATACTTCCTCTTCCAAGTTTCCGTTTAAAAATGTGTTTTTTATGTCTAATTGATGAAGCACCCAATTTTCATTAACTGCTAATAACAGTAACACTCTCACAGTGTTTAGTTTTGCTACCGGAGCAAACGTTTCATGATAATCAACTCCAAAAGATTGAGTGAATCATTTCTCCACTAATCTTGCCTTATATCTTTTAATTCTACCATCAGCTTTGTATTTTACCGTGAATACCCATTTGCAGCCGACTGGTTTTTTATCTTTCGGAAGATCAACTATAATCCAAGTATTGTTGTTTTCCCGTACTTTTAATTCCTCTTCTACTGCCTTTTTCCACTTGGGATCTTTCAATGCTTCTTCCACCGTATCTGGAACAGTAATGCTATCTACACTTGCTGTAAAGTTCTTAAAACAAGGTGTTAGCTTTCCATATGCAACAAATATCTCAATTGGATAATTTCTGCATTTTCTTACTCCTTTCCTTTGAGCAATCGGCAAGTCATTATCATCAATTAAAACATTTAATTCAGTGGAAGAACTCTGATTACCTTCTTCATTCTCCAAAGGATTCTCGTTCGGTTCCGGTTCATGACAGTGTCCATGCTGTGTGGGAGACTCGGGATTAGGTTCAGGGATTAATTTAGAAATTGGTTTTTCTCGTCTCTTGTAAATCTGCAACTCGGATTGAGGTATTTGAGGCGAAGTGATATGTTGATCATGCCGAGGTAAATGTGTTTCGGTGGACTGGTTTGGCAAGGAAACGTTTTCTGGGTTCGGTAGTGTTGTTTGGTCTAGCTGTAGCGATTTTGTAGGCTTATTCGACTAGTTTGACACGGTGCTGGTTGATCAAAAAGAGCTGGCTGCAAATCAAGTGACAATTGTTGTGAGTCAATAAACTGATATTCATTATATGACTCCCCCTGAATAGCAGTTTTAAGGAAAAAAATATTTTTTCAAAGAAAGTAACGTCCATAGTAATAAAGAATTTCTTTGTACGAGGATAATAACACCGAAAACCCTTTTGAGTCAATGAATAACCCAGAAACACACACCGAAATGCTCGAGGATCTAATTTGGACCTGAAAGGAACATTGTTATGAACGAACACAGTACAACCAAAAACTCTAAGGGGTAACAATGAAGTCATCGATTTAAAATTGGGAAAAAAACTGAAGAAAAACATCTCTCGGACACTTAAATTGTAACGGTTTACTAGGGAGACGATTAATCAAATAAGTGACAGTTAAAAGGGCTTCCCCCCAAAAATAGTTAGGAACATTTGTGGAAAAAAGTAGAGACCGAGTAACCTCAAGAAGATGCTTGTTTTTTACCTCAGCAATCCCATTTTGTTGAGGAGAATTGACACACGAAGTAAGATGAATAATCCCGGTTTCCTGAAAGAAAGAACCCAAAACATTGGCAAAATCCTCACTATCATTGTCAGAATGAAACATTTGGATTGAACACTGAAATTGGGTTTCAACCATCTTATGGAACCGTTTAAATATTTCACAAGCTTCAGATTTGGTTTTCATGAGAAAGGTCCAGGTAGTACGAGTGTGATCATCAATAAGTGAAATAAACCACCGAAACCCATGTAAAGATGCGACCCGAGATGGTCTCCAAATATCACTATGGATCATAGTAAATGGTTTGGACGGTTTATATGGAGAAGGTAGATAAACACTCCTAGTTTGTTTAGCAAGTGGACAAATATCACAAGAAAAAGATTTTGGACTCTTATTGAAAAACAAATGTGGAAACAATTTTGCAAGATAAAAGAAATTGGGATGTCCTTAACGAAAATGCAATAACATAACATCGATAGAAGGTTCAAGTAAAGGAAATTATTGTGAATGGTAGGAAGTAGATGGGTGGGAAAATAAAATTGCTTGAAGTAGGTAAAGACCCCCACAAAGCCTAGCACTGCCAATCACTTTGCCCGAGCTAGAATCCTGAAATTCACAAAAATCAGAGTTAAATTTCATGATACAGCATAAATCGACAGACAACTTGCTAATGGAGATAAGATTGCAAGTAAGATTGGGAACACAAAGAACATGAGATAACAAAATGTCTTGATTTATTCGAATAGACCCATGACCAGCAACACCGGATAGAGAACTATCAACTGTTCGAATATGAGAGATAGAAGAGTCGGCATGAAAAGTGTGAAAGGGCCGAAGATCACCTGTCATATGATCACTTGCACCAGAATCCACAACCCAAGTAGGAGTGGTGGATGTATTAGCCAAAGAAGCAGAAGAAATTCTACCTGCAGGTACTAATTGGGAATGAGTGTTTAACTGACTAAAAAACTGCTGCAACTCTTCTATTTGTTTTTTAGTAAACGAACTTCCTTGTAAATCAGTATTCACAGCACAATTTTCTTGAGTATCACGTTGTTGATGTTGTTTTGAAGACTTCCAATTAGTAGGCTTGCCATGTAATTTCCAATAGAAATCCCGCAGATGGCCAACCTTCTTACAATAGTCACACCAAGGTCTCCCCTTCTTTGGCCGAGTAGTAGTTTGAGAGTGAGGGATATAATTATCACCATTCAATCGGTGACAGGTGATAGAGGCTGAAGAAACATCAGAATGGGGTTAATTAATGAGGATTTCCGAAGTGACCTCTGATGAAGAAGTGGAATTCATAATCGACGGCTAGATTTAGGGTAAAAGAAGAAAAAGAAAAAAAATCGGCTAGATTTAGGTGAAGGATCGGTCACCTAGTTGATACCATGTTGATAAAGAGTAAACAACATAGTGGAGAAGAAAATGAACTCTTTTTATTATATATTGTGAAGAGTAAGTTTTCTATTAGAAGTAAACAACTTAGTAGTTATCCTTATCTATCTAACTTTCTAAGAGTTAGTGTTATATTAAAATACTAACTTATCTATTGCATAACCTACAGTCCCTAAATCTGAAACTTACAACATATGCAGAAGCTAGCAAAGCTGATGACTCCTATGCACCAAATTACACCAACTTTGCAGACATCCATATTATACACCTGAATGAGAATCTTTATATTGAGCATCAAAACAATGTTAGAGAAACAGGCTCAACAGTAAACCTAAGGTGAGGCTCCAACTGAATTAGGTAAAGTGCAAGCAAAGAAGAAAAATCCAACAGACAAAGCATAAATTAGTTTGCTGCAAATATAAATACTAGCATAAATTAGGTAAAGGCCATTTAATAAGTGATAATTACAACACCAGGCATCATTATAAGTAAATAACTGTGAATTTCTATTTGGATAGATAATACAAGAAATTAAGTTACCTCAATATTCTATCATTAAGAGGCAGGTTTTTGTCCTTAAGGAGAATTTTCTTTACCGCATACTGTCTCCCGTCTAGCTTGTTTTTGCACAACAAGACATGCCCAAAACCACCATGGCCTATTATCATCACAAGAAAGAAGTCTAAGTAGTCCTATAGTTTGAAGAAATTAATACAATTTTGTGAATGGAATTTATCTACAGCTTTATGGGGAAAATAAAAAACACAAAGAAGCCACCAAAATAAGCATTATAAGTGGGTTGGTACAACTAAAAGGAGTGCATGATATATTGAATCACAAAGCAAACTTGACTGCCTCTTTGGCTTAACTAAGGTGGTCTGGCGAATATATTTTTGGTATGGATCCTCGGTTCAAGATGCTATACCCAAAAAAAGGAAAAGAAAGGAAAGAATGATAGATGGAACAATTAATAGAACAAATAATAGAACAATAGATATCATGAATTCTAAAGAGACTAAGCAAGTACGTCCATTGTTTCTGGAAGCGTACGAATACAACATTACTACTATTCCTATGCAAGTCAATGTCAAAACTTCAAGAACTTTCATCACATGAAACATGAGAATTTTAGCCTGATCAACTATCCAATATCAAATGAAAAACATCATCGGTTAAGTTCTAAGATCAAACCAGAATCACCGATTTACTTTTCAACTGGAGAAATAGATGCATATGAATACAAAATATTGGAAGAACTGTAATACCAAGGGACTGTAGCTCCTCAAAGTCACTCAAATAGCGAGAGCTTGGGAGAGATGCACTAGGCCCACTCAAATCAGAAGCAGGTTTCCAAAATTCAGAAACTTTGGATGAAACCTAAATAAATGTACAAAAATTATAATGCTTATCAGAATTAGGGATTCAAAACTAAAAAAGGACGGCATGAAAGAAAAATGGGGCAAAAAGTGATAACCATATGCTGATGGAAAGCATGATCAAAGGTATTATTGAACATCAAAGATCGTTTAAGAGCTAAATCCTTCACCCATTCTGAAAACATCTGTACTCAAAATCATCAGAGAATCAACATTTAATCAAGCAAAAGGAATTCAAACCTCTTAAATCTAAACACAATCATACTTTTTTTTTTCTTTTTTCCAACAAGCAGATTGTTATTAGTCACATACACCTAAGTTATACAGCTCTGTTACAATCTGCGGCAGTGCATCAGTTAACGGTCCTTTAGAGGCACAAGCAAGGCGAAGCAGATGAACCTGTTCTTGTAATAAAGATTTATTAGACAAAGTTAAGTAGCCCTTAAATCAAATTACTTTTTACACATTGAAAAACAAAATTGAGAAATTTACCATCATTAGATCTTTTTCAGTGGTTTCTGATGCTTGATTATAACCTATAGATCCAGAAGACACCGACTGCCAAGGCTCACTTTCAAGATCCAAATCCAGATCCTCCTCTTCCTCTTCCTCATGAACAATCTCCTAAAAAAATCATCTAACGCTTATGTAATATTCAATAAAGAACTAAACCATGAAATAAGAACAATTTGAAACAACAAAAGTTTGATTCTTTCAAAAATTGAGGAAGCTGTTCATCCACTCTTTAATTTTGTCGATTGTCAATTGTCAATTTTGAATTTCTTTGACAAATTTAAGTTGCTCCTAAAATTATTTTATTTTCACAATTTCAAAGTGAAGCAGCATCTACATTCAATTTAATGAAGCCCTTAGGAGGAGGAGACTAAGGAATCTTAGATACAATCGCTTTATTGGAGGAGGAACAAGAATCCCCTAGGGAAGGATCAGAGATAAGAGAATCCTTAGGAATAGAAATATCTTTATACTTGGCTGAGAACCAAGAAGCAAGCCTAAACCTTGCTAAGAAAAATAATTCGATCTGGTCTAACTTCCCCCATTCGAACACAATATTATTCCCGACTTTCCAAATGGTCCAGAGAACAACCCCTGGAATAAATGGCCAGATAGTAGAATTGATCTTCAAATCTTCCCAGGCTAGGAGAAAACTCTTGGCATTTGCATGAAAAATAGAGTTGAGCCTCCAAAACTTCATAAATTTATTCCATAAAGACCACACAACAGAACAAGTAAAAAATAAATGTGAAGAAGACTCCTCCACCAACTTGCAAAGAGGACATAAAACATCTTCAATACCCTGAACCCCTCTTTTAACCAGTTCAGTCTTTACTGTCAGCTTCTGAAGAACAACTTGCCACACAAAGGACTCCACTCTTGGAGGCAGCAAACCCCTCCAAATTATATTTTTCCAAAAAAGAACCTCCTCCGAACCTGAAGAACACAACTTAACAAAAGAGCTAACAGAATATACACCATCCCCATTGCCTTTCCATAAGGAATCTTTAGAAAGGGAGAAATTCGAAATGATAACCATCAAATTAGACCATTGTTCAAATTCCCAATCATTTAAATTTCTTCTCAATTGAACATCCCAAATCCAACCCATAGATCGATATTCACCAAACTCACATAATTTGCCACTCTTGTTTGATGAAATAGAAAACAGGCTAGGAAAAATGACCAAAAGCGGATAATCCATAGCCCAAAGATCTTGCCAGAATTGAATGAACTTTCCATCACCAGCTTGAAAACTACACATGCTTCAAAACTTAGAACCAAAAGGGTCATCTTTGAAATGGTTATTCACCACCGATCTCCAAATCCAAGAAGCTTGAGCTGGAACCTTGCTGTCAAACAATAATAAGGATGAATCAATATTGTATTTGCTGCAAATAATTTTCCTCCAAACAGAGTTTCTGTCATTAGCAAACCTCCAAGACCATTTCCCTAATAGAGCTCTATTCATATTGTTAAGATTAAACACACCCAGGCCTCCCTCATTCTTTGGTTTACATACAGTGGACCAATTAACCCAATGTATCTTGTTTTTACCATTGTCCCCTCCCCATAAGAACTTAGACATAATTGAATTTAGGATTTTGTTAACCGAGGCTGGAATCTTAAACAAAGACAAAAAATAAGTAGAAAGCGAGCATAGGACCGACTTAACCAATACCAATCTCCTTGCTAATGAAGGAGTAGAAGCCTTCCAACCAGCAAGTTTATTGTAAAAATTCTGAACCACTGGATCCCAAAGAGCAGATGAATTCCTATTAGCGCCAAGAGGGAGTCCTAGGTATTCTGAAGGAAAGCACTCAGCTGAACAACCAATAGTCCTTGCCCAGTCCTTAACCTCCTGTTGAATCGAATTAATTCCAAACAATTTGCATTTCTTTAGATTCAATTGAAGTCCAGAAATAACTTCAAACACTCTAAGAACCCTCTTGACATTCAAAATATGCATCTTCGAAGCACCACAAAAGATTACGAGGTCATGCAAATTGCAAATGAGTTAAGTTCATAGACCCCTCCTCCCTACCTATTACCAATCCAGAAAACAACCCCTCAGAAACTGCCTTTAGAAGTAATAAATTGAGAAGTTCCCCTACTAAATTGAACAACAGTGGAGACAGAGAACAACCCTGACGAAGACCCTTTGCCATTGGGAATTCTTCACAAGGAACCTCATTGACCAATACTGACACAGAGGTTGTAGTTACACATTTCCTTATCCAACCACTTCATCTAGAACCAAAGCCCATCTTCTTCTTAACTTTAAACAAAATAGGCCAATCAACCTTCATATTTTGCCTTTACAAGATCACAATTATCTATTTTTAGATTAACCAGGTTCAAATTAGTCTTTCCCAAGAGTTGACAGATGGTCTGATCTGGAGAGGGAATGGGGAAGGTATTTATTCTGTAAACTCTTGTGTGAAGTTATGCTACTTTGTTTCGATAGCTAAGACGTTTTAGATGAAAAACATTTGGAGGGGTTTGGTACCTCCTAGAGTGGAGATCTTTATGTGGCAGGTGGTGTATCAGAGATTGGCATTAAAATCAGAATTACAGAGGAGAGGTGTTTTGGATATTGTAGACGTTGCATGTCCTTTCTGTAAAAGGGAGATTGAATCTTCATCACATTTATTTTTCACTTGCTTCGTGGCGTGGTCCCTATGGAATAAGTTTCTGAAAATTTGGAAAGTTAGTTCGGTTTTACAGGGCAATGCTCAAAGCTTTATTTTAGCTTGGGAAGATATGGTGCCTTATTCTTCTATTTGGTTTTTCATTCCGGGAGTGCTTCTTTCGACTATTTGGAAATTTAGAAATGACATTGTGTTTGAAGGGGGAATGTTAGATTAGATTGATCTATTCTTTATGACAAGAGTTAGGCTCGCTTCTTGGTTCTTAGCTAAGTTCAAGGATGTGTCTATTTCAAAGGACTCTCATCAGTGATCCCTCTCTTGGGGATTTTTACTCTCCTTCCAGGAATTCAATCAATAAAATTGTGCCTTGGTCTCTTCCTCCAAAGGGCTTTATAAAACTGAATATGGATGCAGCTGTGAGTGGAGATTAGAGGAAAAGTGGTGTAGGTGGCTTACTTAGAGTTGAGGATGGCTCGGTGGTGGGTTATTTCCAAGAGGTTGCTGGCCTAGGTCTTCCTTCTTTGATGGAGCTTAAGGCCATTAAGAAGGACTTAATTTTCTTTGATTCTATCCAACAGTGGTTCAAGGAATGTTTTATTGTTGAAAGTGATAGTAAACTAACAGTGGATTGGGTTAAGAATTCTGATCGTTGTCGTTATGTCTATATTGATTTAGTGAAGGACATTGCTGCTGGGTTAAGAGATTTAGAGGGTGTTATTAGATGGGTTGCTAGGACAGCCAATATTGAGGCTGATAGCTTAGCTAAGGTTGGTGTTGGCTAGTTTCATTGTTTTGTTTAGGTTGCTTATTAGTGCTTTGGGTTGGTTATTGTAAGGGGGTGTTTATGTTTGTTTTTAAACATTATGTATCTTTCGGTTATTAATGAATTCTGAGGCACTCTTTTCCTCCTTCCGCTGATTAAGGAGCAACTTTTGGTGTTCCATTAATCATGAAGGGGGTTTTTAACGAGGCCTACTTTCTTATAAAAAAAACCAGGTTCAAATTAACTTTACATTCAAATAGAAATGATGGCATTGTTACAGCCAGCTTGGTTTTAATCCTTCTTGTCACAAAAAGTTTATCCACTAACTTGCATGAGAATAACAAGAATAGAGAGATTCTGCAAAATGATCTTATTAAAGAAGGGAATTGAAAAGTTAAAACAATCTTATGAAGCCAATAACATCACTCATATCCACACTCAACTTGTACATTTTGAAGCATCTCTCTAGTTACTTGATATAAGTTTCTTTTCCTGGATATTACTTCCTCATCATATTTGTTCCACACGTAATTTTAGCTTCTCTTATTCTCATGAAAGAGTTTCATGCAGCACACACAATAAGGTGGGTGATGACAACACCCAGGCTATGGAAAAGGATGAGGATATATTCAGAATATGGGCCATTATCATGATTATAATAATTTTGACATTCTGAAACAAGAAAACATTTGCAGGACAAAAAGAAAATTTCTGCATGAGTTTTTTTTTTTTTGATAGAAAGAGGCCTCATTAAAATCCTCCTTCAATCCCTCCATGTTATGAGAGTAACATGAAGGAACAACGAAGGAGGAAAGGAGAGCCAAGAAAACTTTTATTCACAAGAACCAGATTACAAGATTGAACAAACTCCTAAACTCCTACACTTCCAACAGAAGAACATAAAACTTAACAGAAAACATCCAACAAACAGGGAGGTACAATTCCTGTTAAACAACACAACAATAACCAAAATCACCCTATCCCATCTTTAGCAAGTTTATCAGCTTCCCAGTTTGCCGCCCTTGAAATATGCCTAAAAATAATATCCTTTCCAATCAAAAGCGAAACTATATCCTTCACCAAGGATAGATGCAAAGGAGGGCTTAAACCCGGATTCTGGATCCACTTCAGAGCGTTAGATGAGTCTGATTCCAAGATAACTCTCTGATTTGCGACAAAATCCAACTCCTCCATAAGACAAATCCCTCTTTTGATAGCCAACAACTCTGCCAAGATAGGAGGACCTCCCCCTACTGCTTCAGAAAACCACTGAAGTAATAGACCTCTGCTATCTCGAAACAGACCACCAATACCTCCTTTTTCCCAACCCGAAACCATCGCTCCATCAACATTTAACTTTAGAAACCCCTCCGGTGGAGGAACCCAGCAAGCAGGTTGAGAGCAATCCTTTCCTGATCTACCAATCGAATCAGCAATTTTCAAATCACCTACTAGAGAATCTAGAGGAATACCCACATCCTTGAAACGGGCACTAAACCAGGAAGCCACTCTAAATCTAACAATGAAAGATAATCTGACCAAATCCAGCTTTCCTTTCTGAAAGATAATCTCATTTCTACACTTCCATACTGACCACATCACTGCCCTAGGAATGAATTTCCAAATCAAAGAGTTAGTCATAAAATCATCCCACAAAATTAGAAATTCCATGGTACACTTTGGAGTCACCAATGACACATTCCACATTTTCAAGAAGGAGGACCACAGACCCCACACAACCCTGCAATGCAGAAACAGATGGGAAACTGATTCCACCTCCCTACCACACAAAACACAACGTTGGTCAACAATCTCTGCAACACCTCTCTTTGCTAACTCCTCTTTAACCGGTACTCTATGTTGCACTAGTTGCCAAACAAACAATTCCACCCTTGGAGGAGCTAAACCAGACCAAATATTCTTATCCCAATTCACTTGATTTTGCTCAGAACCACGTTCATAAAAAGCGTTTATACAAGATTTAGCTGTAAAATTTCCTTCACCATTCCCTAACCAAATCCAACAATCATCTTCAGTAGGAAAAGGAGAGGTATTATTCAACATAGAAATCAACTGCATCCACTGTTCTACTTCCCAATCAGCCAAATTCCTTCTCATTTGGATGTCCCACACCCAATCCGAAGCATTATTTACCCTAAACTCCTTCACTTTACCCGATTTATTAATTGATAGAACATAAAGTCTAGGAAACAACAATTTCAGGGGAACATCACCCAACCATACATCATTCCAAAACTGCACATCTTCCCCTTTCCCCGCCTTCAAACGCATATTCCTTTTAAGACACTCTCCAAAATCATCACTGTTGAAGAAGTTTTTCACCACACCTTTCCAAATCCACGATGCACGAGCTGGCACCGCATTCTCCAAAATAATGGACTTCGGATCCAAATTGTAGGCGGCACAAATCACTTTCTTCCACCAAGATTTCTTATCAAAAGAAAACTTCCAAACCCATTTTCCTAGTAAAGCTCGGTTCAAAAGTGCTAGATTAGGGACCCCTAGACCCCCCAGATTTCTTGGTTTAGAGACCGACTTCCAGTTGACTCAATGGATTTTTTTCTTGTCAAACGAATCCCCCCACAGAAATGAAGCCATGATAGAGTTAAGTTTAAGTATCACAGCAGCTGGGATTCTGAACATAGACAGAAAATAGATCGGAAGAGAGCATAGCACCGATTTGACCAAAACCACTCTTCCCGCTATCGACAGAGAATTAGCTATCCAACCACTCAATTTAGCATTAAATCTCGCCACTATAGGATCCCACATGGCAGCCGAATTCCTCTTGAACCCCAGAGGCAGACCTAAATATTCATATGGAAGATATCCAACCGAGCAGCCAATAACTTCAGCCCAATTAGTTAGCTCCCCTTCTTCAACATTGATTCCAAAAATCCTGCTTTTACCTAGATTTAATTTCAGCCCCACCAGAAGTTCATAAATCAATAACACTCTTCTAATATTCCTCAACTCACGAATGGAACCTTTACTGAAAATTATAAGATCATCCGCAAATTGAAGGTGTGACAGCTTGAATGCTCGGCCCTGCAGTCCTAAATCAAACCCCGAAAACAATCCCATATCCACTGCTTTAGTTAACAGTAAATGCAGCAACTCAATAGCCAAGTTGAAAAGCATAGGTGAAAGCGAACAACCCTGTCTCAGACCTCTGGAAATATGAAATTTCTCCGTTGAAGACCCATTTAACAAAACCGAAATCTCAACAGTTGACATGCACTGGAACATCCACGACCTCCACTTTTCACCAAACCCCATTTTGCTCATAATTTGAATCAAAATTTTCCAATCTACCGAATCATAAGCTCTCATAAAATCCACCTTGAAAACTACTCCCTTCAACCCTCTCTTCCTCCAAAAATCAATACTCTCATTTGCAATAAAAGAGCAATCCAAGATGTTTCTCCCCGGAATAAAAGCAAATTGGGACTGACTTATAATATCATTGAGATACAAACTCAATCTTCTAGCTAAGACCTTAGAGATGACTTTATAAAGACCTCCCACTAGGCTAATTGGCCTAAACTCTTCCAACCCCTCCGGATTTGCCTTCTTTGGAATAAGAGAAATGAAGGAAAAGTTCACCTCCGGCTCCCATACCTTCCCCACATAGAAATCCCTAAAAAACCTCATCATATCATCCTTCAATTTAGCCCAGAACTTCTTAAAAAACTCTAAGTTCAGACCATCCGGACCCGGAGCTTTGTTGATATCCGAATGAGCAATAGCTTCCCAAACTTCCTCTTCAGAAAAAGGCTTCTCCAAAGCTAAACACTGACCTTCGAACAGCTTGAGAAAATCCAGATTTAATTCCTCTACCTCCAGGGTGTTTGTTTGATTATACAACCTCTTGAAAAACTACACCACAGATGCTTTAACTGACCTAGGGTCTTCAATAACTTCACCATCAACTTTGATAGCTTTTATGTAGTTTATCCTCCCTCTAATTGCTGCACTATGATGGAAAAACCTTGTGTTCTTATCCCCCTCCAATCTCCATTTCAATCTAGACTTTTGCATCCAAATTGATTCTTCCTTCTTTTGTAACTCGCATAATTCTCTCTTTGCTTCCACAATAGAATTCATTGACACCAAAGAAGACCCTTGTTGCAATTTCATTTCCATATCCTGTATCACAGACTCCAAGGTTCTGATTCGGCCTGGTAATTGAAGAAAACCCTTACCAGCCCAATTTTTTGCGACATCCTTCACCCGGTTAAGAATTTTGGAAATGGGTATCGAGTTTTCCTGTGTACCCAGATTGAACAGTTCTTTTGTCAACAGTTCACTAAACCTTTCCTCCTTCAACATATAATTAAACAGTCTAAACGGTTTCGGCCCCCAATTGCACTCCCTATTCTCCAGCAGAATAATATTATGATCAGAAATGGACCTAGGTTGCAGATTTTGGTTGATCTTTGGGAATTGCGAGAAAAAACTATGATCAACTAAAAATCGATCCAATCTCTCAAAAGTGGGAACTTCCCTATTATTACACCACGTGAACTGACCTCCCAATAAAGGCAAATCAATTAGATTTGCCTTAGAGACAAAATCTCGAAAAATATTCATCGACATCAAATTCACATCACCACCCCTTTTCTCTTCCTGCGTCAAAAAGGCATTGAAATCCCCACCTAAACACACTGGACAGTCCACCTGTTCCAGAAAGGAAAATAAATCCCTGAAAAATGGCTCTTTATCAGCCTCCACACTTGGACCATAGACATTTATGAAACAACAATAGTTTGGCATACCATCCAACCAACCCTTTAACGCCACAAATCTAGTTCGGATGACCTTTTCCTTCACCACAAATACCTTCTGATTCCACATTGTTATTAGACCACCAGCCGAACCTACAGCAGGCACAACTGCCAAACCATTAAGGATTTTACCTCCCATTTTCCTACCTAACATAGTGCTAACAGTTTCCAATTTGGATTCTTGCAAAAATAAGATAGTTGGTTTTTTCTCCTCTACAAATCTCCTAATAGCACGTGCTTTAACCTTCCTACCCAAACCCCTAACATTCCAACACATAATGGACCATTCTACCATCAAATGCATTTTATGACCATAACCAGGCGTGTTAAGAAAGAGGAGGAAAAGGCTTGCACATCTCCATGACTTATTCCTTTAAATTAAAACAAAAAATATGCCCTCTTCACTCAAATTGCTTAGGCTTATTTTTCTTCCTTTATAATTTATAACAGGAGGCAAAAAAGATTGAAAAAAAGAGAGTTTATATCATTTTATTTGAGGGGGTGTATTCTAATAAGCTACAATTTTACAGAAATCATATTAAACGCAAACATTCTAAACCAGGAGTAAAAAGCATGAATGCCTAACAAGTGTCTATATAATTCAATTACAGCATATAGCTATAATTTGTAAGAAATCTTATTTTTGTGAGCATTAAGAATGTCTAGCAATACTTTCTGCTAGAGAAATGTTAGATAGCAGAAATAGAAGTTACATAAGAATGATAAAGGTAAAAATAAAGTAAAGTATTAAATAACAATTCAGTATTGCTTACCTCCTCGCCATTTCGGACCATGTCCGCCGAAAAATTGCTTGAATGAGCAGTAGATGTGCTTTTACTGTCATCTTCACTGTCTTCCTTAATGTTATTCAATTTTGCAACAGGTAAAGGTGACAGAACTTCCCTTTTTTCTTCCATTCCCAACAGCTTAGGATTCTTCTTGAGTTTCTTTTGTTGAACATCGTACCCGATGTTTGGACCATCTGATTCAAGCGACTGTACAGCAGAAATTATACCTATGTTTTTGTCCATGTCCATAGGCCAATTCCATGACTCTCCAAATCCACTGAAAAGATCTATAAAACCATAGACAAAAGCCACCCTAGAAGGGGAACTCTTGTTAGCAACATCCTTCTGAAGCAACTGGCCACTGCTACTTGTGGTTGAACATAAAGCCTTCAAGAAGAAAAGATAAAATTTCAGACATAACTGTTGAAATATTTGCTAAAATCCAGTAGAAAGCTGCCAAGATTAGAAGTTTGGTTTGTCTTAAAAGTCCAATTTTATTTGTAATTTATTTGTATCTTATGATTAGGCTTTATCTTCGCAGGAGAAAAGTTGTAGGAGATAAAAGTTAGGAAAAATAGAAACCTAGTAGGATTCTAACTTGTAATCCACAACCTATTAGAACAGGTGGTTTTTTTTTTCCAGTAATATTTCGACCAGAGAAATTGCTTTTTCTCTGCTCTCAAATTCTCGCTTTTCCTTTTCTAGAATACTCACATAGAATTAGAGAAGGTTATCAATCCTAGTAGAACATGGAGAAATTGATGATTCTAAGTTGGGCCTGATTGATATATATGCACCAACTTGAGGGAGGGTGTCTAAATATTTGTTAGATCTTTTAGAAGACATTTTTAGTAGTTTACTAAAATAAGGTATCTATTTTCCTAGTTTGTGTTGCAAGTTTTTCAATTTAAACTTTGAGTTCTTTATGCAATAAAATATAACAATTTTATTCATTAAAGTCTCCGCAAACTTTCAATAATAACCAAATAGGGAGCAAAAACGGAAAGTAAAGCACTTATTTTATTTTATAGGAATTGAAGGCCTCATTAAAAAACCCCTTCTTGATTGTATGAGCTTGTAGAGAAGCTCATCAATCAGCGGAAGAGGGAAAAGAGTGCCATAAAAATTTTATTAACCATAATAAAATACAGCCAAGGGACTTTCCCAAAAACCAAAAACAAAAAACTACCCAAACATGTCAAACAGCCATGTACAATTCTACAACGACCTCAACTGTGTCTGGCCTGTAACAGATCGGCCAGAAAACAACACAAAACATTCCCACAAAATGCTTGAAGCAATCAACCAATCCCCTCCTTAGCTAACTTGTCAGCTTCCACATTGCAACTCCTAGGAATCAATCTCAAAACAATATCCTTAGCCGAAATAGATGCCCCAATTTCCTCCACCATCAAACTGAAAAAAGCTGGTGCGAAGTTCTGATTAAAAATCCAATCCACTGCTGTTTTACAGTCACTTTCTATAATTAATCTTCCCTTGTTAGCCCAGATCGATGAGAAGAAAAACACAATCCCTTCCTTAATAGCTTTAAATCTGCTAAAATAGGAGTTCCAGGCCCTACCGCAATTGAGAAAGTGGCTAAGGTATTAGGGGTAGAATCTTTTAAAATCCCACCTATACCACCTTGCAACCTATCCCCTCTTACCGACCCATCAACGTTTAGTTTGAACATATCTATAGGCGGTGGAGTCCAACAAATAGCCTTCTCATGGACATGAGAATACTGAAACTTATCTGCAAGCGTAGGATCCCCAACTAAAGTGTCAGAATTGATACGAACCAAAGGATATTTAGCTAGAAACCATTTAGCCAAGCTAAATCTGGCGAAGAAGAACAAAGACGAAGTGTCGACCTTCCAATTTTCGAAAACAACCAAATTCCTATCCTTCCATAATGACCATAAAACAACCCCCGGGATGAACTTCCAAATGCTAGAATTCTTCCTTAGAAACGACCAAGAGCACAGAATTGAAATGGGGTCTTGAGGTAGAGCAGTAGAAATTTCCCATAACTTAAGGAATTTGGTCCATAACTCCCCTGCAACCACACAAGAGAAGAAAAGGTGTTCAACAGATTCTTCATGCAATTGACACAGTGGACAAAGACCGTCTTCCAAAGGAATACCTCTCTTCTTCAACTCCTCTCTAACTGCCACTTTACCATGACAAAGCTGCCATAGAAACGTTTCCACTTTAGGAGGAGCCAAACCAGGCCAAACCCACTTATTCCACTCGAACGGACCTTTTGAACTGCTATATAAAGACCTCCTACATGACTTGACCGAAAACAGGTCATCACCTTTCCCCGACCACCCAAGAAAATCATCCACTGAATCTGACAAAGATACATTTTCAATCAAGGACATTAATGCAATCCACTGATCCAATTCCCAGTCGAGTAAATACCTTCTTAACTGGATGTTCCACGCCCAAACATTCTGCACAAAACCACCAAACTCAGCTACTATCCCAAACTTATTAATCGATAAAGCAAAAAATCTTGGAAATTGAGATTTTAAGGTTGAGTCGTTGATCCACACATCATGCCAAAAAACAATCGATCTGTCATTACCTATGTGAATCTTTGAATTAGCTCTCAAACATTCCCCAATCTCATCGTTTTTGACATAATTGTTTAGAATTGCTCTCCAAATCCAAGAATCGTGCGGAGAAATAGCCTTCTTAATTGAAAGAGACAAGTTGCTAACGTTGCTCTTGCAGCAAATCATCTTTTTCCACTGACTATTTTTATCATTTGCAAATTTCCATACCCATTTCCCAAGCAAAACTCTATTGATCAACCTCAGATCTAAAATTCCCAAGCCCCCTTCTTCAAACGGTTGACAGACAGTTTTCCAGTTCACCCAGTGAACCCTTTTCTTAGCTGGAACATCACCCCAAATAAAATTCGCCATTAAAGAATTCAATTTCTGCATGACCTTCACTGGAATTTTAAAAATTGAGGTAAAATATCGGCAAGCTGGATAACACATACTTAACCAGCACTAATCTTCCAGCCTTCGACAGAGAATTAGCTTTCCAGCCTGCTAATCTTTTGTAAAAATTCTGAACAACTGGTTCCCACATACCCTCTGAATTCTTCTTTGAACCAAGCGGCAAACCAAGATAAGTCATAGGAAAAGATCCCACTCCACAGCCCGCCATCTTAGACCATTCTATTAATCTGACCTCTTCCACATTAATGTCATACAAAGTACTCTTCGATAGATTTAAGTGCAGCCCTGACAACACACTGAAAACCCTCAAAACTCTCTTAATATTAAGGATATGAGTAGGAGAGTCTTTGCAGAATAATATGAGATCATCTGCAAACTGAAGGTGAGTCAGATGGAAAGAATTACCGCACCTGCCAATACTGAACCCTTCAAAAAGACCCAGATCAATAGCCTTGTTCAGCATTAGATTTAAAAGTTCCCCAACTATATTAAACAATAAAGGGGACAAACTGCAACCCTGTCTCAAACCTTTAGTAATCTGAAATTCCTCAGTTGGAGACCCATTCACTAATACTGAGATTGAGGCTGAAGAGACACAACACTCCATCCATGAAATCCATTTTTCACCAAAACCCATAACCTTTAGAAGTTTGAAAATAATCGGCCATTCAACAGAATCATAGGACCTACGGAAATCAACTTTGAAAACAACTCCAAATCTCCCTTGTTTCCTCCAATAATCAATGCCTTCATTAGCTAAAAGAGCACAATCAAGCAACTACCTACCCGGAATAAAGGCAAACTGCGAGGGACTAATTATATCTTTAATAATAGCAACAAGCCGTTTCGACAGCACCTTAGAAATAATTTTATATAAGCTACCAACAAGGCTTATAGGTCTGAAATCTTCAACTTCCTCAGGATTGAGTTTCTTTGGGATTAACGTAATAAAGGAATGATTAACCCCGTGTTCCCATTTCCTCCCACTATGGAAATCACGGACAAATTTCATAATTTTATCCTTCAAGATATTCCAATTTTTTTTTAAAGAAAACCATAGTATAACCATTTGGGTCGGGTGCCTTGGCACTATCTGAGTAAAAAATCGCATCCCACACTTCTTGTTCTGAGAATTCAACCTCAAGACCCTCTTTTTGCTCGGAAGACAATTTAGCAAAATTCAGGTTGATATCATCCACCTCTAAAGTAGACTTAGCATTGTAATTTACTTTGAAAAAATCCTTAACAGCAGCTCTAATCTGATTCGGATCAGCAATTAACACACCATCCACTTTCAAGGCCGAAATTGCGTTAACTCTATTTCTATTAGAAGCACATAAATGGAAGAACCTCGTGTTCCAGTCCCCATCCTTAATCCACTTCATTCTAGATTTCTGCAGCCAAATACTCTCCTCCTTCCTTTGCAATATCCACAGATCAGACCTCATCAGCAGAAGCTGATCCCTATCTCGTGGAGTAAACCCCCCACCTTGAGACTTCAATTCCAAGGCATTGATCCTAGTTTCCAAGGCTGAAATTTGATCAGAAATCCCCAAACGATTTTTGTTGAACCACTGTTTAATCACTTGTTTAGTACCTTGCAGAATGCTAAACAGACCCCTTCGACCATTGGTCATGTTAACAGAATTCTGGACCACCCCATCAAACCCTTCTTCCTCTAAAAGGTAATTAAAAAACCGAAAGGGTTTAGGGCCCCAGTTCTCAAAATCTTCTTCTAGTAGCACTGGATTATGATCCAATAAAGACTTTGGTAGCATTTTTTGGACAACTTTTGGAAAACACTGCAGGAAGCTACCACTTAATAAAAACCGATCTAACCTTATCCAAGTGGCACCTTCCCTATTATTGCACCAAGTAAACTTCCCACCCACTAACGGAAGGTCTAAGAGATTCAGACTTTGAACAAAGTTTGAAAAAAGATCAATTGAATGCCAATTCTGAGCCATTCCAATCTTCTCCTCCGGGTCAAGATAGGCATTGAAATCCTCCCTAAGCAAACAGGCAGGCTTAGACCTAGCACAAAATCCATCAATCCTATGAAAAAATCCTCCTTATCAGCCTCGACAGACGGACCATACACATTAATAATAACACAATCACAATTAGCCACCTTGAACTTCCCTGAGACAGCAATGAATCTGCTGGTCTTATATACACTGGTAACTTCAAAAAGATCTTCATTCCACAAACAAATTAAACCACCAGCAGACCCATCAGCTAATTGGAAACTTCTACCTTTCAGGAATTTGCCCCCCAACTTCCTCCATAAGCCGATTTTACAGAAACTCAGCTTATTTTCCTATAACATCAAAAAGATCGGTTTGACATTGCTAACAAGTCTAGCCACTGCTCGAATTTTTTTCTTTTTTCCCAAGACCCCTAACATTCC